TAACCATTGGGTTGCCACTGGCAGATGAAATCCAGTGAACCTCTCTTATGAGGTTACTGGTTTTGCATCTCTCTCCAGGGGATCCAGTTTAGCTTCTTTTCATTTACACTCTACAACCTAGAGCAAAGATCATTTCTGAGCACCTGCACCTCTGTTGGAGATAGATCCCTGCAGAAAGAGATCCCTGCAGAAGTGCTTTTCTGACTGCTTTGGAGAGACAAATGTTGCCTGGGTTTCCCTGTCCTTTTTTCTTAGAGGCTTCAGGCTTTCACGATTCAATGCACACTGCACATGTAAAATACACAGAGGCAGCAAAAGACTCCTGGTAGCCCCTGGCAAAGGCCACATATCAGTCCCGACCTCTTCCCACCTACCCAGGGGATGCAAGCTGCCTTCTCCCAGCCCTCCCTGCAGCCCAGGGTGCTGGGTCAACCCCAACCACTCGCCCCTACGACCCACTGTGGGTCCACACCACCACCAGCAACTTACAGCCTTCTAGAGACTCTTAGAAATCTTCCTGATTTTTGAAAGTTGACCCTGCAAGGAAGGCAGACAGGGCAATATTTTAGGTGAAAGGGGGGAGAAAAGAATTGACACTTCCTCTGAAGCCTTCCGCGCAGCTTTTAAAATGATCCCTGGAAACCTGCCGTGTTGGCCACTGAAGAAAGCAAGGTACTAGATTTCTTGTGCCTTGAGTCTCATCCAGCCTGGCAGCCCTCGCAATCCCGCTTTCCCCCATTTATCCACAGATTAGGTACACCAGAGACAACTGCTCTGTTCCTTTTCCCACACTGCCCAACACTAGCCAGGAGCACCACTTGTTGGAGAGAGAAGGCAATTCAGTCAAGACACCTAACACAGGCGATGAATGCAGTACCAGAAAGGACTGGCAACTCTCGATCCTGCTGGAGCCCTACTAAGTGCTGTGATTTTAAGGATTTTTTAAATTTATTTTTAAATCAAGATACTCTGCCTCCTCCAGCTCTCCCCTAACTTCCTCCAGCAACGTAATCTATTTGGATTAGCTCCAGGGAGACGAAAGTAGCCTTGCTGCTCTCAGGGTTATGTGTGATCCCACAGTTCAAGTAGAAAAGCAAAAATTCCACGTCGCTGATGCAGCTTGCTTAGCTCTTGGCCAGCCGTCAGCAAGGAGCTGCTGAAATGGAGAAGCATTATTTCAAAGCCAGATAAGGAGACTGCACATGCTGCATTCACACTGATCTCTTCTAGTACATGCAATTCCTGTTGTTTTATTTCATGGTTATTTGCAGAATTACATAAAAATTCAGGCTGGAAGGTACCTTGTCCAGCTGAGTGTCGAGTACCTCCAAGGAAAGCAATGGCCACGCGTCTCTCGGCTTGTGGTCCAGCATTTCACCATTCTCACAGCGAAAACGTTGTTCCTTGCATCTCATTGGAATTTCCCTTGCTGCAACTTGCACCCATTGCCTCTCGTGCTTTCATCGCACACCTCTGAGAGGGGTCAGGCTCTCCCTTCTCTATAATCTTAATTACACAGCTAAAAAGGGCAATTAAATCTTACTCAGCCTTCCCTTCTCCAGGCTACACCAAGCCAGCTCCCTCAGCCTCTCCTCTTACATCATGTCCTCCAGCCTCCTGATCACATTCATTAGGACATGAAGTACCTGAAGGTCCTGTGAGAGAGCTGGAGAGGGGCTTGTGACAAGGGCAGGGAGTGATGGGACAAGGGGTGATGGCTTTGAGCTGAGAGAGGGGAGATTCAGACTGGATATAAGGAAGAAATTCTTCCCCATGAGTGTGGTGAGGCCCTGACCCAGGCTGCCCAGAGAAGCTGTGGCTGCCCCCTCCCTGGCAGGGCTCAAGACCAGGTTCGACGGGGCTGGGAGCAGCCTGGGCTGGTGGGAGGGGTCCCTGCTCATAGCAGGGGGTTGGAACTGGATGGTCTGTAGGGTCTCTTCCAACCCAAACCATTCTCTGATTCTATGACATTCATATAGTGCTATGCGCAAGGCAAGACTTCCTCTGGCCAAGTCGTTCATATTCAAGACAGAAGGACAGACAGACACATGAAGAAGCGCAGGAAAGCCCTGCATCGCTAGGGTAGGGAGCAAGAGGACCTGGGCTTGTTCAGCCTCACTGAAGAAGTCTGAAAAAGAGATGAACTCAGGCAGATGAACAGTCCACTCTTGGGTTACACCAGGATTTTCTAACGCTGTTGCTCCACTGACACGTCTTTTGGTGATAAACAGATTACCAGAAGCCAGGATCGGTTCCGTGCCCCGTTCCACCACGTGCTCATGAGCACAGAGGGCCAGGACAGGCGAAGGGATGCCGAGACTGGCAGGAAGAAGCCTGCAGAGGAAGGCAGGCTTTGCACCAGAGACAGCATCTGGGGGAACCGCAATTCAGCCTCCAGCCAGGACAAAGTAAAAACGCTTTCTTCTGTGCTGCATCCAGCGGCAGAACTGCAAGCTCTGACTCAAACCCACTCATGCCAAAAGCAAGATGTTAAATGATGAGCGCGATTCCCATTAAGCAGAGTTTGCAATCCAGCTAAACGCACTTGATTTAAGTAACTTGGCTGGAAACACGTTTTTTTTTGCAGGTAAAGCCTTACCTCAAGCAGCCATCGCATTACAGTCCCCATCGGTCCCCCGAGCGAGGTACCGCTGGGTTACAGCAGCTGCACCCCTGTTTGCTCTGCCTGCCCACGTGCAGCAAAGAAAACGAACCGCGTTCCGACATCTCTGATTTTCTTGTCCCTTCGTGCTGATAGATACGCAGAGAGAGAAGCAGAGAGAGAATAGTTCGTCATTAATTTGTGCTGGAAAGCCCGATCACCCGCGCCTTGGTCACTCCTCGAGTGCTGTCAGCTGAGTCACGGACTGTGCAGGACATCTGTTTCAAATGGAGACGACTGCCCTGAGAACGAGATAGCCTTTTTAATTAAATGGGTTTTAATGGAAATAAGGGGAAGGGACAGGTGAAATTAGACCGGAGCTGCTGTGACAGACTTCTTAATTAATGACTTCTAACTTGGTTACAATTTACATTTTTAAAAGATACAGGAAGCTCATTAAGGCTCAAGAAAAACAGCTGGGCATGCCAGAGCAGAGAGGAGAGAGCTCTGCAGACGGAGCAGCACCATGTGGGAAAGATATCCAGAACAACAGCAACTACTGAACATTAACACCACTGCTATTTATATAAGGGTCATCCTTCCCAGGACTGACTTTCTGTAGAAGGCCAGTATTTTTATCTCTGATTTTCAGCTACAAAATGCCAGGCACAGAGAAGTAACCCGCCCGGTGCCAGGACTAAGCTCAGATGAGATACACAGAGTTAGTCAAGGATTATTTCCAGCAGAAAACACAGGCCTAAAAGAACAGGTCTTTTCTGGGAACGCGTCCATTCCCAAGAAATGTTGGTTAGGAGCCACCTGGTATAAGCCAAAAGAGATTAAGAAAAAAATGCAGATGAATTGTTGGAAAGACGTCCACACACAGCTGCAGTACAACCACATCACAGAGTTACAGAACCACAGCACGGGCTGGTTTTGAAGGGACCTTACAGAACATCCAGTCCACAGGTCTTTTCTGGGAACGCGTCCATTCCCAAGAAATGTTGGTTAGGAGCCACCTGGTATAAGCCAAAAGAGATTA